AAAATCTCAATACAAGTTGTTAATTGTATGAATATAACGTTCAAGTTCTTGGTTTGTGTCGTTTTAGGCCTAAATGATAAACGGTAGGATTTATTACTTCACAAAATCTTGCTTGTAAAAACACAACAAACGCACACAGTAGCTAGGTTCACATTCAGAGTTTATCATGATCCAGCAGATCATGATCAAGCCAGTCACTTTATGTGAACCTACCAGAATCAAATAACATACTCAGCTTAACCACCTTATTGTGATTCAGTGGAGCATGTTCAGTGGCAGATCCAGAGGGGGTTCAGGAGGTTTGGACGAACACCCCTCTGTGAAAAAACGTAACAAACTACTACTGGGTCCTTGCTTACATAGATCAGACAAACTAGGTTTAGAACAACTAGCCTTCAATTAAATAAAATACACACTGTTTTTTGTTCGACGTCGTAATAATTTATGTACGAAAGTGCATTCTTCAGGCCTATCAGTTCATCAATCCATGGAAGAAAGACTATGTATAAAACTACTCAATATTGTTGGACTACTTATCCAACTACTAAATATTGTTGGAATATAATAATATATTGCCTATGTCTTTGATTTTTTCTCTATATATAGGCCTATAGAATGAGATAAAATTACCAGACCTTTTTCAAAAGGGGGAACCTTGAATTTTGAAAAACTTAAAGGTCATTAAAAGACCCCTCACAAGTCGGGAAAGCTTATTTCCGGTCATCCGGACACTCTCCCCCCCCCCCACCACTTTTTAATTTTGGCTTTTTTTAGCAAACATTCTGAAAACCTCTTCTTCATTCTTTCAAATCCTCGATCCACCCTTGATGTTGATTGATCATGATTAACCTTGGTTAACGTGATAAATTAATTCATGAGATCGAATTCAACCAATCAGTTTATCAAGCATGTCCCAAATTCATTGGTTGTGATTCTGGTAGTTTTCATGCAACGCTGCACATAATAGATAGATGATGATGATGGTTTCTATATGAGCTGTTTTCTCTAACATGAAAGTTATCATGAAGAACAGATCATAAATTTATGACAAAAACTTATGTCAATGTGCCTAATATCAATCGTTCTAATAAACACCAGTTTGTTATGTAAGTAATTCTCAGCAATGTCAGCCATTGAACAATAACATGATACTTTGAATAACAAATTTTCATAATTTAAATAAATACTGTACAGTACTTTACATAGGCCTAATTGGAAGTTTTTGATTGTAAAGTTTTCTGTCGTACTACCATTTTGGCTAGGCTTTCACATCAGCCAGCAATATAAGATAATATCCACGAGAGTCCATAGAGAGCCCAAACCATCACATTTTAGACAGTAATGTCAACAACATTCCATAAATTCTTTCATCTTATAAGATTAATAGTCTCTTCAGGAATAGGGGATATTGTCTGTCATTAGTAATGGCTTTAATATTTGTCAACAATAGAAAATCAATACATAGGGCACATCATATCCAGTTTAGTTTGCGTAAGAAAATTATTAATGAACAGATGTCTGGAAAGTTATGTTTGCTTGTTTAGAAAGATCAGAGTAACATATATGTCACTTAATGTACATTTTGTTTTATAACACACCTCAATAGATACTCATCATGCGATTGGGAGATTTTGTTTTTTGTTTTTTTGTAAATTTTAAATGTTTTGGTAGTTCGTAATTAGGAGGCTTACAATTGGAAGATATTGCTATGTAAAATAATAATATAAAATAGATATTAAGTACACTTAAAAAATATGGTGATATTTATCATTATGCAAAAATAAACTTGGTGTCACCTAACAGACCCAAAATTTCAAATATTGTTTGTTTTACCAAAATGGAACCCAAAAATATGTTTCAATGCTTAAATAATAAATGCGGTACCTCAACCAAAATGGATGATTGGCAATGAACCCTAGAATTATGCCTATGCCCACAGAAAAAAAAAATGCTCAACAATCCTTGATTTTTTAATGTCACTTTGTTTGCTTGAGCATCATAAAATTCTTTTAGTCTTAATAACAGCCTGTATTTTTCTGCCCTATTGCCAAATATCATTGTCAGTAAGCAGTATTAAAATCTACAATTCCATTCAAATATTAGTGATCTTCAATTATTGTTTTTATATTTATGCAGTTCTTCCAAATTGCTTGGTATTCATCTTCGTTATAATCACTATCACTAATGTAAAATGTACAGAAGGAACAAACACCAACAAGGCAAACAGAAATGGAAACGAAAACAAAATTGTGCCACAAGATGTCAAAACAGATGATATGTTAGACACTAAGATTCCTAAGTTTTTACACAAACGTGAAAGAAGATATGACAGAACCCATCAAAAGGTATGGTTTGAAAAAGGACAAAATGTTGGCAAAAGTAATGAAAAATGATAGAAAACAAACCCAGACGTATAACCATATCAAGAACACAATTTAAAGAAAAGTACAATGATAAAATACTCTACTGTATAGAAAAAATAGGATTAGTTATGGGAAAGATACTTTACAGAATTGTCCATGTTTTAAAAAAAATACAAGACAAATCCTAGGCCTGTTGTATACTACATTCCCGTCATTTGCATGTACATCCCAAGGTTTTAAGTCAAAAACTGTACCAATTATGTGATATTGCACAGTATTAGTGGGTCCGTGGTTTAAAATGTTCTTGCTTATAGCCTTGTATAGAGACTGGAATTAACAATAGAATTGTGCATGATTTTAATAAATGAAAAAACTTATTTTATTTTATTAATTTTGCAGGTGGAAGATGTCCAAATTAATGAAGAAGTATATGACAATATGCCCACCAGTACAACCATATCAACACCACAATCAACCAACGAAACCAACATACGCTGCTTCATACAAATAATATTATTAATTAATGGATTATTAGCTTTCATAGCAATAGCACTTACCACCACACGTAGAATGTGGTGGGGTGCACAACATACAGTAGTGGTCATAATTTGAAACAGGTCCATGGTATGATCACATTGTGGTATTGACCACATTTATATAAATATTCATAGCGACATAATTAACTCTGGTACAATTGCATGTAACATTTCTGATAATTTGTCAATATTTGCTGCTTTTGCTGACATTCTTTTATCTGGCACCGTTAAGAAAAATGTTATGTATTGAAATTATAATAACTTTGTACCTGAAAGTTTTATTGATGATGTATCTCAATTACCTAACCAGATTTACTCTTGTAATAATGAGGCGTATGATACATTTATTCCATAAATGTTTTCCTCTTATCATACAGTTTACTAGTCTTTTCAAGGGTAGGGGGTATTGTCTTTCATTAGTTATCACTTTAATATTTGTCAAAATAGAAAATTATTAAATAGAGCAGGTCATATCCAGTTTTATATCTGGAAAGTCACTTTTGCCTGTTTTCAAAAAACAATGTTGCATACATACATACATGCATACACACGAAGGGTATCCTAAAGGTTCCTTTGCTTGAAAGCATAGGAACCAAAAATTCATCCGCATTTATTTTTTGTGCAGCATCATGTTCTTTTAAAAGTCTTGTACAAAGAATGAAAAATGAGTTATTGATATATCTAAATAGATAACATAGATATATGCTATATATTATTTCTACCTATGTAAATTTTATTATGTTCCTTGATTCCATGTGTTATATTATTTAAACTTATGCATATACCATTATATTCCTGCAACTTATTTTATATTCCACAATTGTTTTAATTATATAGGACCTTATATAAATCTTACTATATTTTATTTCCTGTTATAGTTTACTGTAGTTAAATTACTCTCAATTAAAGTCTTAGCATTAAGCTGGTTCGATGGCACCGCCAATAAACTACCGCTTACTTAATCATTTCGCCGACATCTTATCATGGTTTAATTGTAATTGATCAACTGATTGTATCTTTTACTTGATTTCGATTGGTTTATACCATTTATTATTCTTTATGTATGTGTAAGTTTTCTCACTTTAACGCTGACTGAGACATCTTTACAAGGAGATTGGAAACGCGACTAGATTCTATTGTTCTCTAGTTTGTGATGTCTTGTGTTTCATTGATATGCAAATAAGGTTGTTTGAACCCAAGCGGGCAACTTCCACACACGAGACAAGCGGATATTTTAGTGGCGGTATTGGACGTATAATATTTTAAAAAAATATTTAAACTTTTACTTTGGCAATTTCTTTGAAAGGTAAGATACATAAACACATATTGCATTTTAAATGTCTAAAATTTATGGTATGCGTACATAAGACTACAATAGCTTGTAATTCGGCAACCCCTACCCTCAGCCGTCCAGGGCTAGGCCTAACTGAGTCCCAACACTCGGTAAAATGCCTGAATTGAAGAAACAAACTAAATCCATAGTACAGTTTACACACATTTATAAGCACATATATGTTCTGAAATCATTTACCACAACAGAAATGGTATTTTTGTGTGAACCTAGTAAGTCATGTTCAGAATCAGAGAATATGTACATACAGTCCAATTGACATATTTTCATATTAATTACTGCTTTTTGAGCAATTAAATGTTGGAAACATCAGCTATTAAAATACACTTTCCTCTAATATTCATGAAGCGTTAGTCATTGACAGGTAATATACCGAAAGATTAGCTAAACCTGTTTGTACCTATATTAAATATCTTTATGGATTACATAATTATAAATACGAAATACTGCCTTAAATTATGCAGTTTAACTCAGGTTCCTAGGTTGAGTAAACCACAGTAAGATCATTTTCAGCATCGGCAATTCAGCGTCTAAAGATAAATTTGTGTTAATTATCCTATCAACTTTGAAAAAAAAAACCTTTAACTTATGTAACTCTCGTGAGAACATTTGCTATAAAAAAATATATTAAACTTGATCTGGCGTACAAGTCTCATTTTGTCACAATACCTCACATATACAGTAAATACAACCCAATCAAGACACTTCTAAAAACAACTGATATACGCCCTCATAAAGCAGGGCTGAGGTAAGCTAAAAATACTCCAGAAGTTTCAGCTGTATTATAATAAAGTAATATATGGAATCAATGCCGTTGCAACAATTAATATTTTGATTATTTTTATATGTACAGTGCTACAAATGTAAAATGATATTACCTTGAATCTACTTACTTACCTTAAGTCTTTGTTCAGTGATGGACAAAATAAATAGAAGTTAAGGAGGACATCCAAATATCTTAATGCTGTAGAGACACATTGATGTGGGTCGTCTACTGCTAAAGCCAGTAGTGATTCAGACATTTGATTGGCCAGTAAGTTCACTAGCCCTTGTTTGTTCTCTCCGGCAACAAAAAAGTCATTGGCAATCTGAAATGAAAGACCATTTTAAAAGAATTTTTTTTTAGTTTAGTGTTGTTTTGAAGGAATAGAAAGAGATATATTCAAAGAAAACTGTAAAGGGTATTATTTCACAATTACGATTACATTTATAAATCTGATCATTATTTGAATACATGAAAGGATTTAAAGTGAGGGCATATGGCCGCACCTATTTCATTAATATATTTCATAATTAATTTCACCTTCCTCTGAACAATTCGTCAAAAAAAAATCACAAACAAATGTCTAATTTGTGTGTTTTTATGTGTGGTATAGAAAAATGTGTGTGTGTTTTGAATGTTTACAATCTTAACATTTACCTCTTTCAATTTGCCAGTCAAAATATCTGAATCAGATTTCATAAGATCTCTTTGAAAGGCGATTTTAATGAATGCTTCTAAACAAGCACGGTACACTCGTTGTCCTCTTTCAGAGTCTTGGACAACATTCCAACATACGTCCAGAGCTTCTAGACAACTAGAAGGATTGCTAATAACCTGTGAAGACGTCAGATTACTCAAATAAACCTGTTCTTTTATTGTTCATTTATAGATATTTTCCTCAAGTAAGCAATTAAAAAGTAAAATCAGAGAATGTGTATTGATTAAGTGCTGCAG